CCCAGATTCCTGGGACAAATGGAAGCTTGACCTCACCCTTAACTTTAAAAGTTTTTCCAACCAGGAAAAGCGTCGTGTCGACGGCACGACTGCACATCTGGAACACACCATTGGCTCATTACAACTGCAAGCAGCGTATACCCCTTTGAATCAGGACGAATCTTCCCGCCTAGACCAAGCTCGGCTTCACCTGGCCAGATATGAAGCCTCGAAAGCCTCCGAGATCGCGCTCAAGGCTAAATTTAAAGTAGAGGGGCACAGAGAAATGGGAGTCTCCTCCCTCCTCTCCGGACTCAACTCCCGGATCAAAGGCTCGATCATCAACTCCTTGACCCTACCCAACGGACTGACAACCTCGGACCTCTCCACCATGACCAACATGTGCTCTAACTTCTTCCTGGCCCTTTATAGCGGGAGCAACCCTGTCACCCGCAACCCATCCTTCTGGCAACATATCCCCCCCTCCTCCATCCCGAACCCCCTACTCATCCGCCTCAGTTCCCCCCTTTCCCTAGCTGAAATCGGAAAGGCTCTTCTCTCTCTTTCACGAGGAAAAACCCCTGGCCCAGACAGTCTCCCCGGGGAGCTCTTCCGACAATACTCCCCACGCTTCGCACCGGCCTTTCACTCCCTGCTCTCACCACCACAGCCACTCTCCCGCCTCCCTCCGTCCATGCTGACCGGACGAACCGTCCTTATCCCTAAAAGGGGGGACTCCTCGCTAGTGGAAAACCTCCGACCCATCACCCTCATGAACGCTGACTACAAGGTCCTCGTGCTATGCCTTGCTAACCGCCTCCAGCTCGTTCTCCCCCAACTCATCCACCCATCTCAAACCCCTTTTATCAAGCACAGGAAAATCGGAGACACGATCAACGATACCCTTAACATCACGGAGTGGGCGGCCTTCTCCTCATCCCCCCTTCTTGCTCTTACGGTGGACTTTCGCAAGGCTTACGACCTCGTCAACAGATCTTTCCTCCTCCAGGCCTTGTCTGTCCTGGGGCTCCCCGCACCCTTTATCCACTGGGTCCGTCTAATGCACTCCGAAACATACACACGCGTCTCAGTTAACAACATGCTCGGCCCCACCTTCCCCGTCCGGACTGGTGTCTGACAGGGCTGCCCACTGGCCCCCTTGCTTTTCGTCTGCGTCATCGAGATCTTCCACCGCTACATGTCCCTCTCCCTTCCCGGTTTCGCCTTGTCCTCCACTCAGCGCCGCCTCATGGCGTGCTACGCGGACGATGTCACCCTTTTTCTTACCTCGGATGCAGAGCTCGGACAAGTTGTACTGATGCTCGGCGTTTTTGGATCGGTCTCTGGTGAGGTCCCCAACTGGAACAAGTGCTCCATACTTCCATTCAATATTCCCCCTTCTGACCTTGCTCATGCCGGGATTATACCCATCCGAGCCCCCAATGAGGCAGAACGCATCCTCGGAATCTACATCGAGCGGTTACACCCTGGCTCCACCACCTGGAACAAGGCTCTCACGTGCATACAAACCACCGCCAAATTCTTGGCAGCCCTACACGCCACTGCCACGTGCCGCAAATCCCTTTCCTCGATCTTTCTCAACACAGTCCTTTCTTTTCCTGGACGCTTTCAACCTGTCCCACCAGACATAATTACACGCCTTGATATGTCTGTTGGGAACTTTCTCTCGTCATCGAAACATAAACAAGGCGGCCTCGCTCAACGCCTCATTTCCAAAGGTCTCCTGTACAACTCCCCCCAAGACGGCGGGATCGGTGCGATCGCACCATCTATACAAGTCAAAGCTCTTGCTATTCAGCGCGCCCTGCGCAGATTTGGACCAACCCCCTCCGAGGAAGTAGCACGTACCTTGACCCCGTTCCCCTTCGGACTGCACGGTCTACTCTCCCACAAAGCCATCCTCGAACGAGATTATCTCCCCACCTTCATCCCCCCTCGGGCGTTGGACGAATTAAAAGCCCTCCTCTCCCTTCCGCTAGTCATTCATGGCCCCCCCTTACGCATGCATTGTATCCTCACCGAACCAATCGCCTTCAACCGGTCAATCCTCAAACCTGACAATCGGCCTTTTGGCACCCGCCAACACGAACAGTTCCTCTTTACAGGGCAATTCCGCATCGGACACATTGTCCGAATCCACAACTTGCATGTCAATCCTATCTCTGCCAAAGAATTTTGCTCCCAACTCCCGGAGGAATTCCACGCAGACGCAAAACGCATCCTCCCAGAGCTTATCAAGGCTATTAAACCACCTTGGTGGGCCGCCCTTCGAACCCCATACGCTTCTTCTGCATCCCCAGGAGATTGGTTCACGCTCTCTGAAGACATCTACACCGCATCTCCTCTCGCTCTCCAAGTTGTATCCTTCACCCCCCCCTCCTCCGTCTCGGCTACTATCCACCACGTCTCGCCAAATAAACTCATCGCCCGTGCCCCTGCAGCCACTGGACTCTTTCGCCTACAGGATCTCGTGGAGGTGTACGTCAGGGAACGGTGGCTCGCAGGGCCGCTTCACCAAGGGGCTGGGTTAGGGGTTAGGTTAGGACTACTGCAGGATGGCACCCCCAGCATCGCCGACATCCGTCGCCTCCTCTACTCAGCACAACCACTAACTCACCACCTCCGATGGACCTGCGACCTCACCATCCCTCCTCCTCCTCTCCCTGACCTTACACATTCGTTTCTCAGGGATCAGCCGAGCCGCCAGCGGGACATCCTTTTCAGATTCTACACGCTCACCCTTCCCTCAGGGTCTCGCTTCCAATACTTTGATGACAGGGGGATCTGCCCTCGCTGCCCAGCCGCGGTCGTCGAGACAATACCGCACATTTTCTTCGAATGCTCCTCCGCCCGCGACGTCAGCTCGGCCCTTCGCACAGTCGCTGACCGCCACCTTGGACAAACAACCACCGCCGAGCACATCTTCTTCCCAATACAGTCACGGGTAGGACAGTCCCCACCTTGGAGCCTACTAGTGGGAGCAGCGGTTAAGACACTGTGGCAGGCACGCTGCACCCACAGGAACCACAACTCCTCCTCGAATTTTGAGATCCTGCAGCTGATTCTTGCCCAGTTCCTTATCGCCTTCAAGATTCTGATATGGAGAAGCCGACGCCAATCTCCCAAAAAGCGACAACGCACATCCTCCAGCATCAAGCGAACACAGGATCTCCGCTTCCTCCTCTTTGACCGACACGGTATACCATCCATTCACCCCAACCTCAGATTCTCATGGCTCTTGGGGAACCCTTTTCGACCCCCGTAGACAGCCTCTGCATAGAGCGTCTCCCCAGTTCGCTGGCGGTTGTCCTCCGGACAAGGAAATAACGTGTGATCCAGGTGCTCCTTATGGGATGTTGGCATATTTTTAGACAGCTCTATGCTATATGACTTGTACATTGATTAAGATCAATAAAATAACCTTAACCACCACCAAGACCAATCGGTTGGATGGGATAAAGTGTACTGTATCACGTACGTCATGTCAGGCCTTCTCTGACGTTATATCTGGTTTGGTGAAACCGTGCCTGCACGTTTGGTCCGAACTTCTGTTAAAAGCGAGCGTGATTGGTTCGTAAGCACAATGGACAGGCTCGGAATTCGGACTCAGCGGGAATACTGACAGTGATCAGGCGCGAAACCCACACCGCGCTGGACGATTGTCGAGGTCGACCAAACCTGTCCAGTGCATTATGTCAATCCAGGACATCAATAATGCGTCGCCGTGAGTTGCGGGACGCCGCATACTGTGTCGACATTTCGCGCCGCGTTGCGACTCGCACAGTTCCACACCAAACTGACCACCACCACCACCCCTTGTGTGTAGCACTGACTTGGCCCATTCCCCCACCTATCGGATGTCCCTACTTCCAACTAGCCACAGGCCATCCCTTCTCAATAATTGAGTTTCTGCATCCAATAACATGAGGCCAACCACGCTAGTTGCTGGTGGAAAAAAATAGCTACTTCGCAGCAGCTAAAAAATTGATGACGAAAGCTGTACGATTTGGAACGCGAGACGACTAATTGCCGTTGGAGCAACTTGCGTTGAGATTTGGGTTCTCGACCGCAATCGCCGCTTCACACGCTAGGCCCCTTACGCCGCGAAAGCTACAGGCAATGGCGGGGGCACGCCTGAGATTAGTAGAACCAACTAGGCTTTCCGAACCAACAGACTCGCTTCGCGAACCAGCAACTTGGCCTTCTGAACCAATAAATCCTCGTTCTGGCCGAGCAGACCGCATGTGTTTCCTTAATCGTCCGGTACGCGCATCCGACCTCGCGACTCTGTGCGTTGGGACCCTTTCTCTTAGAACGAGCGGAAGGCCCGGGCTTAGCCTCGTATATAACTCACACAGAGAGGGCCTCCATTCTCACCCGCAACTACACAACTTTATTTTCGAGGCGACTGGAAAAAATATCCGTGCGGAGTCTGCTTCCCCAAGTGATCCAAATTCTTCCGCATCCAGCGCAATCAGACGCGGCTTCCGTTATCAGTCCGCACCCAAAGGCCCTTCTCTCTCAATTATTGGAAAGCCCATCGCAACTCGCATTGTTACTTGGGTAACCACCTTCGGCCACCAACCTTCTTCTGCGCCTCTCCCATTCTCGACCCCAGATTCTGGAATCTCCGGCCTCATCGGTCCTGTCCAAAGAAAAAATAGAAATCTCTGAGTATTTTACTGGACGCTGTAATAAGCCTCCGCAGTAATTTGTGAGAACCCAACGACTTCTGAGACGTCTCGAAGCTCATCCGTTCATCTCTCCATTGCGACAGAGCGCTGCTTTCTGCTGGTAACCAAGCACTGCGACAGCACAGATTCAAGCAAGAATCCAGCAGATAAGCTCGACCGGTTCTTTTCCCTGTCAATCGTACTCGTCCTTCATTTTCTCATTGCGACGAAACCCGGCTTTCTGCTGGTAGACCCAGCGCCGCAACAATACCGTTTCGAATCCCTTGGACTCTACACCGAAGCAACTTCGAGGCCCTTGGGAACTCCATGGAGCAATTTGGGTCCCCCAACAGAGTGTGTAGACAACCCGAGATGACTTCTGCATCAACTCAAACATCAAATCGGGTGTACATACAACCCCAACCCGAGCTAGCCAATGCATACTTCCCGGACTCTTCACGAATTTGCCGACGAAATGGTGGTAACACCCGCAACTCAATCTCGTCCGCTCTGGCGCAAGTTTCGCTAAAGCGCCCTCTTCCGCCAGTTCTGCTTCCGCTCGCCAGCCCCGCTGAACCCGCCGTCTCGCCTGTTCTCCGCTCCCCTCCGCTGAACCATCTTCCTGATGCCTATCCATGTTCCGCCGGTCTCGCGGCAGAGGCAGGGGGAACCGCGGTCGGTGCAGTGAGCGCCCGTTTTGGAGGCGCGGACGGGTTGACGGCGGGAGATTGGGGCGACAGACAGAAAAGGAGACGGTTGTTTTTCCCCCTGGTCGGAGAAAGCGCGGCAGCGAGTGAAGTGGAAACCGCGCAGGAGGCGGCACGCGCGAGGGCGCCCGCGCGTGCGGAAACTCTTGCTGAGGACCGGGCGACCATGGGCGAATCTTCTGAGGAGCGTGCGACTGTGGGCGCGGGCTTTGCTGGTATTGCGCGCTCGGAGCTGCGAGTTGCTCCTGATGGCAGAGGAAGATGGCGGAAACGGCGGCTGGGGGAGGGGGGCGCTGGTTTGGGGGGAGCGGAAGTGAGCGCGGGGGAGTGGAGACCGGGGGAAGCGGCAGCGGCGGAAGAGGCGGAAGAGGCAGGTGGCATTGGGGCGGAAGCCAAACGGAGGAGGCAAGGAGGGATGGACGGGCAGTGGAGGGCCGGGTGGAGAGGCAGGCAGGGAGAGGGAGAAAAGGATGAAGAGGGATGGGAGGAGGAGGAGGATGAGGAGGAGAATAGTGAGGACGATGAGGAGGGAGGGGAGGAGGAGTTAGAAGAGGAGGGTGAGGTGGATGATGAGAATGATGAGGTGGCAAGGAGCGAAGAGGATGGGGATGAAGGCGAAAATGACCAGCAGGGAAACAGAGTGGAGAGGGAAGGGTGCGCACGTATGCGGATCCGCAGGGGGCCTCAGCATGACAGGTCGATTCAGCCAGATGAAGATGGTGAGGTTGAGGAGGAGGATGAGGGGGAGGAGGACGACGAGGAGGAGGAAGAAGAGGATGAAGAGGAGGAGGAAGAGGAGAATGATGAGGATGAGGATGATTATGACGAGGATGAGGACGGGGATGAGAACGATGGTGACTGTAGCAGTGACTATGACGAGAGCTGGTGGGAGGAGTGCGAAAGTGATGTGGAGGGAGGGGAGGAGGCGAACAGCAGGTTGGGGGAGGAGAGATTGGTGGATGGATTGAGAGAAAGTTTTCAGAAGCTGGAAACGGAGTGTAGATTGGCGCGGAAGAACTATGACGAGTTGCGATCTGCTTGTAAGCAGCTTCAGGAGCAGAACAGCTTCTTCCGATCTAAGGTGAGAAGGTGAAGTTTTGTGGGGGGGTGTATCTATTAGTTGTAATGAGGATGACGTTTTCTGATGTTTGGATGGGTTTGTCGTCCTGCAGATTGAAACCCTTCAAGTGCTCCGTGGGGGATTTCAGACTAAGCCAGGTTAGGCTGAAACTTGTGAACCAACCATTATTCCTTCTAGAGGAAATATATATTGACCAATGTTGCAATAAAAACACAGTTATTAGCACAAATTCTATCTCGTCAATCATAATTCCTATCTGACGAAGCTGAATAGATACACTAAAAGCAAGGTCATGGCATCCATGACTTAAGCGTAATCTTCCCTAAATGTAGCGCCACCGCACTAATGGCAGACTCCTTTAAGTCCAGAGGAAGCTGTATCTGAAAACGGGGATGAGCGAGGCGGGTAACCAGGTCCCGCTCGCCACCCACCAGGGCCGTGTTCGGGCATCCCATTCAGCACTGCCAGCTCGCGAAGCTGTGCCCGCTTCAGCAAGTCGTAAGAGTCGTCCTGAGGTGGGGGACGAAAAGTTTGACAACAAAACCACATTTGTAACTTCCGTCGTATTGAAGGTTCAGATTTGCCTAGCCCGCAGGCTGCGAAAGTACCACAATTCGCACTTCGCCACATTAGGCGCGAAAGAAAGCAGATCCAGCTCGCAAAATCCCCACCTAGGAAACTAGATCCATCCTCGCATTCACCTGACAGCTTGATTTTCGGTGGAACCTCGGATGATAAGTAAATTGGCTCCTCGGATTTGCTTCCATTTAATACGTACCACGGGTTTCAGTAGCTCGTGGACTATTTCGCACGCCTCCCCCAGTTGCATGTCCACGATATCCGCCGGTAATTCCGCAACGACGACCACGTGGAGAGGGTCGAAGAGGTGCTCGTAGCCAGGCTTGCCACGTAGGCGCTCTTCCTGTTGTGTGGTGCGGGAGGGCGTTGCGAAACAGGAAATTGAATAAACACGGAGAACGACTTTTGAGGCGCCTCAAAAGTGGTGTAGGAGGGCGTCGCGAGATAGGAGATTGAATATACGCGGAGAGTTAAAAACGTCTGGGCGCAACGCCAGGTATCAGGTAGCGGAAGGTTTTGAGCCTAGCGCAGAACCATTATCACAAAGTGTATTAGAGCCAGGTTAGGAGTTGTCGACTCCTCCGTCACATTCTCTGTCAAGTTGAATGTGTCAGCACGGTCTTATAGAACCCGCGCCCCCTCCGTTGCTCTAGAAAGTGTCTCTCCTTTTCCCTCCCTCAAGTTCTCCACCGATCTCAACCCCCGCGCCCCCTCTCCCCCCCCCCCCCCCCCCCCCCCCCCTCTTCTCCCCGTAACGCGGCCTTTACTTAGCTCCCCCCCGTCCCCTCTCTCAACACGTACCCTGCGCTGCCACTTCACCAATCCTCGCCCTCGGGCAAAACTTTCAGTCAACTCGCCTCTCTCTCCGCATATGCACCCTGCATTGCTTCTGACCCGTCTCAAATATTCTTCCTTTAACCCAGTATACGTACCCTGCACGGATCCTTGATCGATCCGCGTCCGCGGATCAGCACGCGGCAGCCCGTTTGCGCCTCCACGCGCTTAAGGGAGTTTCCGCGCGGCCCCAACAGGCGCCCCACGAAGTTGTACGCGGGGAAGCGTTCGACCGGCACGTTCACGCGCTGCATCTTCTTCACTATCGGCGCAACTCCCCCTCCCATTCCGCCCCCCATTCCGCCTCCCATTCCTCCTCCCATCCCGGCCCCCATTCCGCCCCCCATTCCGCCCCCCATTCCGCCCCCCATTCCGCCTCCCATTCCGTTCCCTGTTCTACCTGCTCCTCCCGCCCCCATTCCCCCTGCGCCTCCCCCCGGTGCTGGCGGAGAGGCCCAGCTGGGGAGCGGCGGAAGAGACTGAGGGATTGGCGGAGGCGGCGGGAGCATCACCAGCGGGGAAAACGAGGGCTGTGAGGGGTGCGAGAAACGGGAAACGGGAAACGGGAGACCGAGCGAGGGTGTTGGTTTTGACAAAGGAAAGGGCGGCTTTCGCGGATACTTATTCACTGGCGTTTATTGCAAGATAGCGTTCGATTCTGCTGGTTTAGATTCTGCTGGTACTAACGCGGATACTCTTTTCCGCGTACCTCGATCTCGTTAGGGAGTGGCGACCACGTGCCCCCATCGAAAGGCGAGGGACCAGGCGAAAGCCCGTTTTGCGACTTTGGCGAAGTCAGTTGATCGGGTAACAGCTGCTCAGGGTTTGATATGCTGTCGTTGTCCGTTGCAGATGAAGAACAGTTGAGCGATGTGAGCCGCGCAATCTCTGCAATAAACAACACAACTTAAAACAATTAATCACTTGAGACGAAACAAAATATAACTCAAGCGTACTTTGAGACGTCTCAAGAAACACAATATTAATCAATGAATCACTTGAGACGAAACAAAATATAACTCAAGCGTACCTTCCTCCAATCAGGAATCCAAACTATTTCAGCAATGCTGAATCGCATTCTGCCCCTGCGTACCTTCCTCCAAGAGTCGGGAGCAGTGCGGTAGAACGAGCTTGAACGGAGTAAGTTTCTTTCGCTCAGCGATTAGATCCGCCAAATAGCTGACGTAGACGGAGATGGTGGGAACCCAGACGCAGAGCGCGGAAGAGGGAGAGACAGACGCAACGGTAACGTACACGCTTGATTTGCCATAAATTGTAAGAGAAAACTTGTTCAATTGCAAGTCTGGGGTTGAAATTCGCTATGCGGTGGATAATATAAACTCCAGCTCAGCTTACAATTCGCCATCGCTGGTGGAAGACGAGAGTCTCGCTAGTCCCGGGGACGACGGCGAAGAGCCAAGGTTCGGCGTGAACCAGCCGTTCATCCTGATTCGTTTGTGTCACGTCGCGCGGGGCCGTAACAAACGTGACAACGCTTGTTACAAAGAAACAGCAGTGGAAACGTGAGTTCAGACTACCGACTGGAAAGCAGCCTGATGGATATTCTTGGGAAATGCCGTAGCTTTGCAGCGACGCGAGGCTTCAGAGGACGCTACTTGAGGGGCTGGTGCGGTCAGAAGCGCAGCAAACTAATACTAATTTTGCTACTACTCAGTAGTAATGGCCTCTCGGTGAGGTGTAATGTCAGAAGTTACCCAACCTAGGACTAGTTTCGTCTAGCTTACTAGCAGAAGAGACCTGATGATGATGTCTCGGAATTAGCCCCTTGGGAAAGCTTGCCAGTTTTCGAGCGTCGTCAATCCACAGGCAGGGAGAATCGATTGATGTATGTCGAAGATGGTTTGCGACGTTTATGTAGGGCGGTGGGTGGATTTGCGACGATAAACGGCATGATGTGGTCGTCGCATAGAGGCGTGCTCCGAGTGAGACTCCGTATGCGACAGTGTGCGACAGCTCATGCAGTTATCGCGTGGGCCACTCTGCGACGAGTGCTCACAATGTGTGTGTCTACGAGAGCTCTATCGTGCTTTCAAATGTGTCTCGCCGCCGGATCGCGCCGACGAATCCTGGGGTAGAGACTGTATTCGCAGTCATGGGAAGCTTACTCGCGTCGCATTTAGCTCGACGCGAGTGCACGCAACTTTGCGTGCCGGAGTTCCCTAGGCCCGCAGTCGCTGCAAATGCCCTGGGCGTACTGACGATGTCCCCTGAATTCGAGATTATGAGGTGGTCGTGGAATTCAAAGCACGACCACTTTCGGGAGAATTCCGAGGAAGCGTGCGAGAGTAAATGGTCATGCATGGCAGTATCACACACATGTGACGACGCGCTTTGGGGGTTTTCCTATGGGCATTCAGTCGCCAAGCTGTGGATGGGTACATGAGGATTAGTGGTTACGAAGGAGGTTTGGTTGTTAGTAGAGGCAGAAGGGTATGGGATGCATGGAGGATGGTGGGATGTGTTGAATTCACTTCGAATTCGCCCCTCGAATGTGTTCGAGAGCACACACCTCTCACACTCACATTCTCAGCTCCGTCGAGTCGCTTTTGTCTTCTCAGCCCCACATGACAGACGAGTCGCGGATGGTGAGCCGAGCCGCAGATTTCCGCCAGTCATACCGCGTCAACTTCGCTCTCTCCCAAACCCCTTATTTCGCAAATGCGATTTGCGGCCTGCCAAGTTCGGGCAGCTTCTGACGAAGAGAGGGGGACGAAGAAAGTAAGCGGCAAAAGCTTTCCCGCTTGCTGGGGTGAGGGAAGATTTCAAGCCGCAAAAAGATTCCAAGGGAACGGAAATCCTGTGAGCTCATATTCAAAGTTTTCATCTCCGATTTGTGGCCAGCAATCGCTTGTCATGATTTTGCTGCGGCAAACCAGGGGATTTTGTCCCGGATAGGGTCAGAATGAATATCTTTCCTGGTTTGAGGGCAGAAAGGACACGTGCAGCAGATTTTTTGGCAGGAAGTGGATAAATGATGTCTGTTACGAGTGCAATTGAGTAAGTGAACTAGAATTGCACTATCGAAGCAAAAAATACAATGAGCGAAGGCATGAGCGAAGAATATATAGCGAAACTACAGTGGTAACGGTAATGGACTGTGGTTGTCGCGTAACGGGCCTGGGACTGAGGTTTGGGAAAGTGTCGAAGCAGAGGCCCGGAGCGCGGGTTACCAGCCGAGCCGTGAGGTTGGGGTGCGATGTGCGAAAATGGCGGGCTGATTGTCGATGCGAGGGTTGCGAGTGGTAACGGTGCTGGCTGTGGTGCTATAGTGATGTACGCGTTGAGCAAGGATGCGAAGTAAGGAAAAATGATTTTCCTTACACTACCCCCCCCCCCTCCTAAGGAGGTCCTCCTTACGAAAGTGCGTGGACGTCCCTGAAGTTTCGGCTGCGCAGATATTCGGTGAGAACAGGGTGGTTTTCGATTCTGTCCAGGGGAACCCAATTGTCTTCGGTGGGTGTACGGTCTTTCCAGCGGATCAGGAACTCGATCTTTCGGGCTCCTCGAGGGTCACGAACTCTGTGGCTCAGGATTTTGTCGGGGGCGATGATTGGTTCGGTTGGCGGTCGTGCCATGCTGGCTGGGCGATTGCGTGGGAGTTGGTTTGTGGATGGGACGTAGGGGCGAAGCAGGCTGACGTGGAACGAGGGGCTGACGTACCAGTCAGCAGGGAGGAGGAGGTGGGCGGTGACGGGTGTTATCATGTGACTGATACGAAATGGCCCACAGTATCGGGGGCGGAGTTTGGGTGTGATGGGCAGTCGGAGGTTCTGGGTGTCGAGTAAAACTAGGTCGTCGGGCTGGTAAGTGGCAGGTCTACGGTGGAGGTCGGCGTTGCGTTTAGCGATGATGTTCGATTTTTTTATTGCGTCTGCTGCCCTGGTCCGTGCCGCTTGCAGAATTTCAGCGAACTGTTGCGCGCGTGGAACTGGGTTGTCGGGATTCGGGGTCATGGGTATTGTTGGGTCTTGTCCGTAATTCAGGTAAAACGGTGACTGTTGGGTCGTGGCGGATGGGGCGTTGTTGTATGCGAATTCGATGAGTGGCAGTTGTTGCTCCCACGTGTTTGGATCGTCGCACGTGGCCCTGATGAGTTGCTCCATGGTTTGATTTGTCCGTTCTGTCTGTCCGTCCGTTTCGGGGTGATACGATGAACTAAACTGTAGTCGCGTGTCGAACTGCTGCCACAGGTTCCGCCAGAAGTTCCTGGTAAACTTCATGTCTCTGTCGCTGATGATTGATGCTGGTATCCCGTGCAGTCGAACGACGGTAGAGATGAAGAGGCGGGCTGTTTCTTCGGCTGTGATTGATTTCTTGCAGGCTGCGAAGTGTGCCATTTTCGTCAGTCGATCAACGACGACCAGGATCGCGTCATTCCCACTCGCTCCGGCCGGTAACCCCGTGACGAAGTCCATCGTCACCTGCTGCCAAGCACGCTCTGGGGGTGGGATTGGTTGCAACTGTCCTGCTGGCCGCTTCCGGGTTGACTTCATGATCTGGCAAGTGGGACACGATGCCACGTGTCGCTGTACGTCGGTCAACATTTCGGGCCAATAATAATACCGCTGCAGCTGCTGCCGTGTTTTCTCTACTCCGAAATGTCCCGAGGTAACTCCGTCATGTGCCTCCTGTAACAGTAATTCCCGTAGCAGTGTCTACCCTGGTACCCAGATGCGTTCGGTCCCAGCTTTTACATAATTGACTCCCTTGGCTGCTGCGAATTGCTGCGAGTTTCCTCCTGTGAAGAATGGGTCCGTTTGGTATCCGTGGGTAAATAGTCCTGTCAGTAGCGGGCTGGTCTGGGCGAGTAGTATCGCATGGATCTGGGCAGTGGGGCGGGTCAGTGCGTCAGCGATATTCGAGGCTCCTTTTTTATAGGTGACTGTGTAGTGGAAATTTGACTCGAGGAAATCGAGCGACCGAATCTGTCGTGGGTTGAGGTGGGGCTGTGCGCGGAGGTATTGTAGGGATCGGTGGTCTGTCCGTACTGTCACGTCTGCGCCGGTCAAGTAGCAGCGCCACACTTTGAACGCATGCACGATCGCGAGCATTTCGCGGTCGTG